AACTTGAGAATTTAATATAAATTGAGTAAACATGGCATCTAGTTCATCATATTGGACTAAAGCTTCATCGTGAATACCTAGCATTTCTAGGGCAAAAGCCAATTCTTCCTAGGTAAATATAATATTTAAAAGAATAATTTTATAAATCAAAAATATTCAAAAATGTGTATTACTTGGTACAAAAAATATTTGCAAAAACTCCAAGATGGATCATTTCTCTGTTCTCTATAATTTCTTATATTATCTTCATATTTTAAAAATAATCTATCAAAGGCAGATAMAATTAATAGTCGTACATTGGTAATTAATGCTCTCCATGCACTGCTACCACATCGGACTTCTGATTTAGGGGGATTTATTACTGATAAACAGCTAAAAATAAATCAGATTTGTTGAATAACAATTAATTAAAATTAATTTAAGGCATACCGATCAGCTTTTTTTTCAGCAAAATCATTTTTGATCTTGTCAAAGACAGTTGTTCGAGGCAATAATTTATTATGTTTTCTCAGGTCATAAGTTTCAACTACAACTATTACCCAATCAATAATATTGTGCTTGTTCATTTCATTCATCCATTTATCAATTTCATCTCTTAGTAAAGATTTATACACTTCCATATCCTAAGAACATAAAAATTAGTTTAGATTCAAACAGAAAGACCAATAACATGAAATGAATCGCAATCTAGTGAACAGTTAATGGATTATAAGTAGATAGGTATGTGTATAGTTTATTAAAAAACATTGATAGAAAAGTAATCTGTTGAATGTTTTGTTTTAAATTATTCAAAACATTGTAATATACTAATTGCTTACCAAACACTGAGTCCAAAATGTATGCATTATTGGACGACTGACCAAATTACGACTACTGATTTGTTCAGCCACAGCATCCTTGTTGAACGGGACAAAGTCTGTGGACAAGGTGACCATTTTCATGGGTCTACCGTACTGGCGCCTCCATTCAATTGGTTCTTGGCTGAGCGACTGACTGAGTACGAGTTTCAAATTTTCAAATAATTCTTTGTCACCGGCATCTGAAACAAACACAATATCGAATTGTTAGAGGCGAAATGCAAGACTTGCAATTATCTAAACAACAGTATATTATAGTAGCTTGCATGTAATGAGAGGTTTGTGATCGGATATCCGGAGTGCATCATCGCCTATTGGATTCGCAGTGGTCATTATTTCTCAGCCACAAAATTCGCGTATAACATATTATTACCAAGGTGTAATGTGCCAGTTCGAATATCGGAATAGCAACGCGTGCCAACAATCAACTGCAATAAGCAGGTGTTTCTGACGTCGCGACGGCGAGCAGTACATTGACGTGTACGATAAATAAGCCAACGACACGCAACGATCAATTAATTACATTCGACACGACAATTTGGCCGATTTGTATTTTTTAAATCTTCTTGACATTATCATAACTCCTAGATACCTATATTTTAATTTTTATCAGAGACCCGATCGTGTTTTGTATCCTTATCAATCAGAGCGACGACACCATGAATCCTTAGATAATATATTATCTAAGACACAAATGATACCATTATTCTGTGACCATACCATACCATATCATATTGTTCAATGGTTCAACCACTACTACCGTCCATTATCAGATTATCTGCGTGCCGTGTGCGAGACTGCGAGACAGTCGAGACAGATCGAATTGATCGAATATCGAATCGAAGGCAAATGAGGTATAAYGAATAATGAAATACTTTTTAATTCCAAAGTTAAACATCATTCATCTAGACACGCGGTAGCGTATCAAGCCAAGTTCTAGCTAACAGAACTGGCGAGCATCACCGTGTGTAATATTACACGAACCATTTAGAGCCACTTTTGGCCCCCTCATAACTCAAAAACTATTCCACATAAACATGTCAAATTTGGCTCATATATTGAGACTAACGAGATACATATGTGCTCTAAATTTCATAAACACACTTCAAACCGTTATTTAGATATTAACGTCCGAAAATCGTCATTTTTATCACTGACTGACCTTTTTTTTTTCCCCTGTTTGAACCGACGGCGCCGCGGGAACTGCTTTTGCAATACTTCCGCGACGCCGCCATCGTTTATTGAAAAAAATAACAAGTAGGTAATTATACATACTGGGGGGTAGACGGGACAACCCCCGATTTCCCCCCCCCCCTAGCGGTTTAGTTCATAATACAGTTTATATGTTTTACATTTTTAGCTGCATCTCTTCTTTGGCCGATCGATGGGTCACTGACCGACCTATAGATTAAAATTTTAACCCAGTTCCAGATGACCTAGGTCATCCTATAGGTCAATACAAAGGAAAAAATCAGAAACTTGAAAATTTTTTAATTTTTTAATCAATTGATTTTATTATAATTTTGCAACTATTTTATCTATTATGTTTAATTTTTCAATTATTTAATTAATTGCCTCTAATTTAATGTAATGTAATGTAATGTTGACTTAAATAACCTTTCCCGTATCGCCGCTCCAAAAGGCAAAAATACGTCTAGCCGAATATGATGTGTCGATATTCACGATATTGTCGATATTTATATATATAATATAATATACTTATATATATATATATATTTATTTATATACTCAAACATTTTAAAAGTTCAGGAAAATATAAATAATAACACAAAAAAAAAATTATAACCCGTAAACGTAGGAAAATACAATAGTTTAATAAAAACCATTTGGAAATAATTTTATTTTGAATAAATAGGTATTCAAAATTTACATACAAAAAGTAATGATATCCCAACAAAACATATATGTAAAATGATAGCCAAGTTCAATTATGTAATATATGCTTTGGTTGTTGACTTCAACGACAAAMGAAGTGAGATCTAARTGGATGCCAAGTTCAATGGTCAGTCCTGACATTTATTTATAATAACATGAAATATAATTTCTTCTTATCACTTAGGATAATGTTTTGAAGCCTAAGKTCTGACTTGGCTAGTTTCTATATACGAATTATGTTATAGCCTTCGCAAGTTCTAAAAARTTRGGAGTTCTTTTTTATTCTTCTAAAAATTTGGCTTGCTATTAGAAACTAGCTATCGAACATAGTGCTCTTCCATGACTGTTTTAATAGGTACTTGGTAATAATTCGTAAAATATGGAAACTAGCCAAGTCAGACCTTAGGCTTCAAAACATTATCCTAAGTGATAAGAAGAAATTATATTTCATGTTGTTATAAATAAATGTCAGGACTGACCATTGAACTTGGCATCCAYTTAGATCTCACTTCTTTTGTCGTTGAAGTCAACAACCAAAGCATATATTACATAATTGAACTTGGCTATCATTTTACATATATGTTTTGTTGTTATTTATTTTAAAATCTAAATAAGCGGATATCGACGGGTTTTAATGTGTGCAAAAACATTTAGAGTCTCTTGTAAATCAATATTATACTCAATTTTTACTTCTCGTTCTCAACTGCAATAATCAATAGATCATTTAATCTTTCGTCGGTCGTGGTGATTCGTCAATATCTTTTTACTCTTTTGAGGGATGAAAAAAATATTTCATTTGAAGCAGTAGATATTGATAGTGTTTTTATTATAGAAATCATATCAATTATAACGGCGTATTGGAGTATTAATGGCGGGTCAATAATTAAAATTGGAACAAGTCTAGTTTAGCGGCCACTCGAATTTTTTGATTTTTTTTTCGGAAACCCATGTATTTTAACGAGTAATAAACGATGGTGTCAAAATAAATTTTAGGAAACCATTAGTTTTGAAGTTATAGACTTACGAAGTTCACGATTTTCGGTTTTTTACTTATACGCGTGACACTATTTTTTTACATTTTTACCGCTTTTATATAATTAATTTTTAAATTAATTTTTTGGGGATGTAAAATTGTAAAAATGTAAAAAAAAAACAAAAGAATATCCCTTGACTTGCTATGCAACACCACCTCAAGTAGGTCACAGGGTAAGTTATGCCGTATAGTAGTGCAGTGATTACACGTTTTGCTCCTCGGTGCAGTCACTCTGATCTGCAAATCGAAAATATCCCGTTTAAGTATTATTTAAGTTATCCTGGTAAAAGTTAACCAAATAAAATTGATACTTCTAAATGCAAATTTAGTGCGCCGCATCGTTGAGGTTAACTAGTGAAACAGTGATGAAAAAAAATTGTACATAAAACATTTTCTTAATAAACATTAAATCTTTAGATTTCTCTGATTTTAGATCTTTTTACCTTCATCTAATCTGTAGTCCTTTGTTTTTATATTATGATTGTGTTTACATATAAATGCAAGATGCCATATTATCTTCTATGGCAATTATGCCAATGCCAAGATGGTCTAGGGAAGTGATGGGCAAACTTTTTTAATGGGGGCCACAAATTTTAAGAAATTCTAGTGGAGGGCCAGAATTATATAAAAATGCATTTTTTATACTATACAGGCCATATTATACTATCCATATCGATGGACCTACTTTCGCAAGCCGTGCTTTGCCCACCACTGGTCTAGGTGGTTCTGGGTTCATACAATCCACATTGGGTAATTAATGCATAAATATTAAATCTTTATTATTTATGGGTAAATGGTAACGTCATCAAATGCATGACAAAGAATATTTTGTCATGATCAAACGTATGTTTTCAACGCGGTACTATCAATCACTACTATCATTGTGTTCCATGTAGATCGTGCGATTCGTGTTCAGAATTTATTTTCTGGTATATAATTCATTCCAAATGAACTATTATTTATGGAAAACGATTTAACTATTCAATTGATTACATAGTATAGCCAACACAGAGACGGTCGAGACGGAGTAACTAGATTTTTCATTTAATAATCAGTAATCACCAAATCAAAAACCAAACGTTGAAGTACTGAAATACTTGAATATTTTCATTGGAATATTGTGGTATCGTGTTAACCATGTTTGATTATAATGATTACAACCGTGGTCCAAATGTAAGGTACTATACCATTGATGGAGGTGAAATACTTTAACCAGGTGATAACCCTGTTCAATGGCGATGACGACGCGCAATTGCACCTTTGTATCCTTAGAAAATTAGAAAATATATTTAGGTCTTCGTTACTTTCGATCCTACTTGAAAACTGTACATCGACAACAGGATCTGTCGCGAACGGCTGAGAAATGAGTTCGGGACAGTCTTCGAGCTTGGTAATCCCTCAGAAATCCGATTGCATGTACACGGCATGTTACTGGTATGTATATCCGACATCCCTATACATGTTGTGTATATTTTATTCGTAATGGCCGATAGAAGACTCCCTTATACCGTTTTTTACGCACAAAACGAACCGACTACTTGCATGTCTCAATAATCCGAATAATTCATTCCAAAAATTCGTTCGAATTACTTTTCAATATTTTACCGCAAGAGGACGTTTCAGTTCTCATCCACCATATTTTGTTGTCTCGCAACAAGCGCGTATCGACATAACTTACACTTAGCTTGGTTAGTTTTAATATTGGAGGCGATTGAACTATTGTTAAATATTAAAGTTACATCATTGTGATTTCGGGTAGATGTTTTTTTAATATTTTAATTTTAAGCGAGTTATGCGCATTTAAAATTTTAATATACAATACACATAACTCGCTTCAAAATTTAAATTTTATAAAAAAATAATGTTGACCAAGGATTTTACATTTTGGTTTGATAATCTATTCACTATAATAACAAAGCTAAACATGAATTGCCAAATCCAATTTTTCCATGTTTTGTGCTTTTGTAACAGAAACAACTAATGTGGATGAGAGATGTCTTCTTAAATATCTCTCCAATGTTCATATAATAACTGTAATGATAATTTCAACCAGTGCCGTAGAAACCACTGGTGCAGGCGGTGCAATGCATCGGAGCACTTGATCTTGAAAGGGCTTTACGCCCTTACCGATTATCTGATTATGTGACCTAAAATATAAACAAAGAAAAAAGAAAATTATGGGGCATCTTCACCAATTTGCACTGGGGCACACATGTATCTAGCTACGGCACTGATTTCAACTGAACTGATTAGTACCACTGTTCCGTACATTAAACTTAAATTTACAAACTAAACTTTTTGTTATTTTTATTTTTGCAGCGAAGAAAATATTTGGCAATTAGCAAAGCTGATACTAGAAGTAAATAAATCCACACCAAACATGAAATGTTATGTTATATTTGTGTCAAACTATAATAAATGCGTACACCTGTGGAATCAAAACTGTAGCCATAATGAAGGGCTTGTATTTTGGGTATAAAAATGAATAAACTATCAATTATTTGCTATTACTAATAAAAATCACACATGTTTTTTTTTTTTTTGTTGAATAATGGATGAATAGGATTATCACGTGTTTTTGATTGTTCAGCATCTTGATAAAACTCTGGTTTTTGATATGGATACTAGATTGCCATTCCCTGTTCCTTTCTCACAATATGCTAAGGAAGCTATTAGAGAGGAATTTAAAGAAACCGATTCTAAACGGTATATTTAATTTTATAATAATAGCATTATATAAATTACAATTGTTATTCTGTTTAGATATTTCAAAGTTGTTGATGCTGAAGTATATGTGGCTCAATTTTCATCTGACAGAAACCACATGATAGAACATGATCGTTGGATGTCACCACCACCTCCATATCCACCTATCTTAAATAAAGGTATAAAAATAATCATTTTTACCACTATTCGTTGTTTGGATTAAGATTAAAGATTATTAATTTATGAATGTGGTGTAATCTATGCAACATATTCATTATAACTTATAAGCATCTTACATTAAATGAATCGCATTCTATATTATGAGCAGTTAAAAACAATATCTATATTAGTAATTAATACAATGGATAGTATGAAATAAATTTCATCTAATCTTCAACACGTTTACTGCTGTTCATATTTGTAAAATTATGCTTGATCTTGTATGGATTAAAATTTTACTTTTATTTTTAAATCTTTTATTTCACAATGGTAGTTTTTATGTACAACTTAAAATATATAATTAAAGATAACAGAGTAAAAATAAATTATGTAATTGTTTAATTTTAATATTGACCAATTCATAGTGCTTTAAAATTTAAATGACTAAGCGAACATATTAAATATTGATAATAACTTAATATTTGACCTATTGACTTTATTTACCTATTTAGTAGTCATTAAATAAATTATGGAATAAAAATTGTAGTAATAATTGAAGGGTCTGGTGCAACAACCAGATAACTCCATTTTGGAAAAATGTTCAGGATGAAGRTATAACACTTTCCTYAATTTTGCATTGAAGATAGGATTAATCTGTCGGTATATTGAAGTTGAGGACATAACAATAAATAATTATATTTAAATATCAAAATCCTAGTTTTAAATTTTGTAACCAAAAATATTTTTCAAAGTTGAACGTAACATGGAGTTATCTGGTTCTTGATCAGAAAAGTGCTAAATTTCAAAACTAAAAAATATATTTTTTTTTTTTCATGATAAAACTGTTTATTTTTAAACACATTTTTACAAAGATTTCTTTGATTATATATGAAGATTATAGTTTTTCATAAAAATAACAGATGGGTAAGCATGGGGAAAAAATTGTTTTTTTGGAAATATTATGTTTTTAATTTTTTAATTTTTATATAAGTTTCATAATAAYAACTTATTTAGAGCAAACAAATTTAAAAAAACAAATAAAATATTTAGTAGGTACTTTCCTAAAAGTTAATAATAAATAATAATAACCCAAATATTCATCTTGAATAGGYRAATCTTAGYATTACATTTAAATATTTAAAAAAATACAGAATATTAATTTATAAATCATTTTACATGAACATCATCTTTTCTGGAACAAAACAAAATATTTATCTAATTAAAACAAAATTATTCTATTACTATTAGTTTGAATAATTATTGAAATCTACCTTTTGTTTAAAATAATTATAATGATTTTCAGTGTGGCCAGCTGGGCTCAACAACCAGATAACTCCAGAGTAATCCGTTTGTTGCACCGAATTACAAAAACGGATAACTCCATTTTATGCATTATCTCCGTTTATAATAATCAGAGATATACTGTTATTGCACCCATAGATAAAGAATTTTTTCGTTGTTATTATTCAATCAAAAAGTCAATTTCTAAAAAAAGTGGAGTTATCCAGTTGTTGCACTGGACCCTTGTTAAATAATTGTATTAATGTATAATGTGAATATACTATTTTGAATTTAAAATAAACATATTTAAATTGTTGTGTTTTACTCATTGTAGATAAAGTTCATAATTTGGATAATTTCATTTCAATGGATTCTTCAAACGAATTTGGACCAGTACTGAATCTTGAGGAGTTCAAAGCTAGATTTTCATAATGATACTCATTTTATTATATTATATAATTTGCCGTTTAATAAATGTTTTTCATGACATATATTCACATATAAAGTATTATATCATTATTGGATTTTACTTTCAATTTTTATTGAAAATTTGCTTTATGGCCTTTATGCTAATGTAATAATTATATTTTAAATTATTAATGAAAACAAAACAAATTATTGTTAAGTTAATTTTAAGCTGAGATTTGTTTTTGTCTAAATTAAAGAGTTTGAGATTAAAATAAACATCACAAAATATATTGTGTTAATTTACTATTGAAATAGTTATATCTATAAGTTTTAAATTAGAAAAAAGAATATGTTGTTAATTTAAAACTATGTAATACTTAATTATAAAATGTTAAGCAATCTTTCAAAATCAAAATTCAAACAGTAGTTTATTAGTTATATTCCTTTGTTTATCAAGGATAATAGGTATATGATAAATTGATAATGTATAGGTAATTCTATGGTAATTTAAAATTTTTAATATTAAGTATTAATCTACATTTATCATTTCTAAAAATGAATTTAATAAATAATTATAGATTAAATATTAAACAATATATTTTATATTTATGTAAAACTATTTTTAAGGACTTTAGTTTTTAGTATAAACTTTTTAATAATTGTGAAATTACTTATTTCAATTTTAAACCAAAATACATAAAAAATAATAGTATTATGATTAATAAAGGAGTTTTCATTTGAAAAACAGAAGTTTATATCACCATGGAACAACTCTGTAATTTTCAAACACAAGAAGAATTAAAAAATTTGATATTGATTATTAAGTTCTTACCTCTATATTTAAAAATTCTAAAAATCAGAATTAAAATACCTAAAGGTATTATATTGTTAATTTATACTACATGGGATGAGCTTTTTATTGAAACATCACCGCAAGGATTACAACATTCACTAGTGAATTAGTTAATAATTGTCAGCTTTTCTGATGGAAAATGTAATTCAATAATTGCTTTCATATTCTTACTTTGTATCTATTATAATTATATATCATATACCTATCTACCTACAAAAGAAATAATTTTCAAAATACTTTATCTAATATTCAAGATAGTTCATGTCAAAATGTATGGACCTTATTTACCTACTACCTAATTTATAAATAATTGCCCAATTTTTTATTTTTTATTTTTTTTTAAAATAATTGATAAATATGTGTCTTTTATTTGTGTATATAATATGATATACTAGCTGATCCCCGTGCACTTCGTTACTCGTTAAAAATACCAACTCTATATGATTAAAAATTTGTGTTTAATTCATCGTTTAGTATCCGGCTAGACATGTTCAGAACTTCCCGTGGATTTACAAATTTACAAAAACTCAAAATGAATAACGCGAAAACAATAATAAATAATTCACCTTAGATTGGAAACCAATAGCAAGCTTACAAGTTACAATATACAAAAATATTTAATATATTTTTTGGTGAAAACAGAAAGATGGTGAATTGGTGACATTAATGTATTTTTTAGTATGGTCATCCTTTTACCTCTGCAACTTTATTGGACTAAATATAAACCAAAACTTGCTAATATGCTCCATTCGTTAAAAAAAAAAACAAAAAGATCTGATAAACTGCCTGCACGTAGAGATGAAAATTGGCAAAATCAGTTTGTATTTGAGACCAAAAAAGAGGAAAYCCGAGTTACTACAATGTATCCATTGATTGATTCGTTAGTACAAGGAATTGACGAACGTTTCAGTCAAGAAAGCACTTCAATCATTACTGGAGTGGGGAAAATGTTGAAATTTGAACTGAACAAAGATGA